GAAGATAATTTAAGCACAAAGCAGAAAGGATAATAGCTAAAACTAGAACAGAACTTTAAAAAATTAAAAACAAGGAACTGATAGAGAAACCAAAACTGTTTCTTTAAAACATCAATAAATTTAATAAATACCTAGCTAAGTCAACAACTAGCACCAAAAAAGAAGACAATATTATTCAGAAAGATAAGTCATCAGAATTGATAATTAACAGAAAGATTAGTTATCAGTATTGAACCCTTAGACAAGAAGGGGAAAATCTTTGGTACTTTCTCTGTAAAATATCCCAATAGGGGAAAAAAAAATTTTTCCCTCCTAGTCAGAAAGCATAACAAGGCTGCAGAATGTACAAAATGTAAGTGTACAAAAATCAATTTCTTTTCTATATAACAATCACTATCACTGTCACTGTCCTCCTGTTGTTCATCGATTTGCTGGAACGGGCACCAGTAACATCTCACAACAAATTGTGAGACTTGTTGTTACTGTTTTTGGCATATCGAATACGTCACAATGGGAGAATTAAATTTAATACAATGGCATTTATAGTAGCCTGAAAATTAAATTAGTCATATATATGTATATATATAACAAATATGTACAGGATCTATATGCAGAATATAATAAAATGATAAAAGCAACAAATATCTAAATATAGGGAGGGATGTGATATTCCATGTTAGTTGATAACTCAATATTGTTAAGATAAATTCTTCCTCCTTTAATCTCCATATTCAGTGAAATTCCATCAAAATTTCAGAATCTGGGGCTGGAGCCATAGCACAGTGGGTAGGGCGTTTGTCTTGCACATGACCAACACAGGTTTGATTCCCAGCATCCCATATGGTCCCTTTAGCACCACCAGGAGTAATTCCTGAGTGCTAAGTCAGGAGTAATCCCTATGCATCGCCAAGTGTGACCCAAAAAAGGAAAAGGCCCTCCCGTTGATCGTCGATTTGCTCGAGCGGGCCCAGTAACGTCTCCATTGGAGACTTTGTTGTTACTGTGTCTGGCATATCGAATACTCTCGGTAGCTTGCCGGGCTCTCCGAGAGGGGCGGAGGAATCGAACTCGGGTCAGCCATGTTGGCCGCTTGTAAGGCGAACGCCCTACTCGCTGTGCTAAATTTTGTTTTAATTTCAGAATCTATTTTCAGATATCAAGAAACTAATTCTAAAGTTTATTTGGAAAGGCAAAATATCTAAAATAGCTAGCACTACTAAAGAAAAGAACAAAGTTAGAAAACGCATATTGGCAAATTCAATAATTACTGTAATGTTGGTACCACTCAGGACAAATACCACTCAGGACAATGTGGTATTTGTGGGACAGAATAGAGGAGCCCAGAAACTGATCGAAATAAATATAATCAACTGATGCTTGATAAAAAGAATAGAAAAGTTTGCATTTAAATAGTGAGAAAAGTCTACTTATTATTAGAGATCTCTTCAGAACATGATACTAAAATCCAAACGATTTGGATGCTGTCTATTCTTTCTGTTGGGTTCCTAAGTTATATATATCACTGTTTTATGTTTCACTGATCACAGAATTCTAATGAAAGGCTTCATTAGAATCATGTAATCCCAAAATTTTTAATGATTTGTATAAGGAATGAGAAATAGACTACATCAAAATTACCAGATTTGCAACACTTTTCGAGCCTCACAATTAAAATGTTTTAGTCTCCCAGCAAGCTACCGAGAGTATTCTGCGCGCATGGCAAAGCCTGGCAAGCTCCTGTGATGTATTCAATATGCCAAAAACAGTAACAAGTCTCACAATGGAGACATTACTGGTGCCTGCTCAAGCAAATCGATGAACAATGGGAGGACAGTGCTACAGTGCTACAGCCTTCTGTAAGAACTGTGGTCATTACCACAGGGAATGAGAGTGAGATTGTAGGAATGGGCAGAGGGCCTTTTCAGTGGTGAAATGGCACCAGAATTTTGGTGAATTGTATGTGAAAAGAGTGTAAAACTAAACCCCTAACATTGGTAATATCGCAAACCAATAATAAAAATGTAAAATAATAAATAAAATTTACTCTGTTTTTCTACTCTATGTTGATAATAAGTCATCATCAGTCATAACATATTTTCTAACTTAGCTATAAAACAATTATCTCAATACTGTAAATATGATACCTCAGTAAAAATGCCAACTAAAAATAAAAATATAAAAATTAGTCTTAAAAATCCTAGTCAATTCAATCCTGCATATTTCAATATATGCAACTAACAATAAGAATATTCTTAAGATCACTTAAGATTATTTATTTTTGTAAATCACGACTAATTTAAATAGCTTCGTTAGTATACTAGATATCTGAATTCTTGCCACTTCTTTTCAACATAATTTTTCCAATTTCTGAAACCTATGGTAACCACATAATTGATTTAAAATATGTTCAAAAAGCATTCTTTTCTATAATGTTTCATTAAGTGCATTGACACATAGCCTACATTAAAGATAGTCTTTAGATATGAGATAAACTTGATTTTTTATTTGATAAGGAAACTAGCTTATTACTGTCCCAGGAGGACAAAGAAAAATTAAAGTGATCACTAAGAACTAGCTAAAGAAAAAAAGTTAGCCCATAGTTGCTTAGAACAAGCACTATGCCCTTATATAAGTAAATAGTAGGTGCAAGACTTAATTAATTTATTTTTAAAGGTATAGAATGTTCAGTTTAGTAACTCAGTAGTGACAAATAATCTTCACCATAATACATTTGAAAAAATATCACATCACTTAAAATCCATCACACAAAATGGAGAGGTTTTTTAGAAAGGTATACTTTATACTTTGATATATTTACCACTGCTACTACTTTGTTTTGGAAGAATAGAGAGCACTGTGTTTCAATGATGATGAGCTGTGTCAGGGTTGACTTGCTAAGTTCCTAAAAGTGAAACCCTAAGATAATAAAAACAAATAAAGGGCTCTTGATCCATGGAACAGATTTTCCCTGACCAAACAATGATTTGAAATATTGAAAAGGATAGTGTGTTAGATTCAGCCTAGTTGTCTGGGATAAGAGGGGTCACAAGACAGAGAAATCAACTGCCCCTGAAAAGTCAGTTAATTTTTTTTATTTTTTATTTTTTGCTTTTTGGGTCACACCCGGTGATGCACAGGGATTACTCCTGGTTCTGCACTCAGGAGTCACTCCTGGCGGTGCTCAGGGGACCATATGGGACGCTGGGAATTGAACTGTGGTCGGCCACGTGCAAGGCAAATGCCCTACCTGCTGTGCTATCTCTCCAGCCCCATCAGTTAATTTTTAGCTGCAAAAAAATTTTTTATTGAAAGCATTTCTTCGGGTTCCCAATATAAAGGGATTTGTGGATTTTTCCCATATTTTTTCAAACACTCATACTATCAAATAAGTGTTAGCTGTGAAAGGAAGTTATTCTAAAGCAAATAAATCTTAAGAGGTATATTCTCCTCTTTTCCAATTTGACTGCATATGGTACAAATCATTCATTTTAGGAAGAATTCACAGAACTATGCAGAAGGCCAACAACAACAACAACAATGTAGGAAGTCTGGGAGTAGCTCAATTTGCAAGGGAAGAGAGAATGCAAAAGGAGATAACCTTCACCTTACTAAGTACATTTAAGAAAGAGACTTATAATGCAAATCTTTGACTTTGATTGAGTTATGACTGCATGAGGTAATAGTGTTCTCAAGTACATATTATTCATCCCTGCATGTTACTTGTCTTAACCTTTCAATTTAATTGAATCTAACAGAAACTATTAAATTCAATCTAGTTGCATAAGATTATAATGGTCATTAGTAAGTCAGATTTTTAAGTGAGTTGAAGATATACTGCCTGGTTAGGTGGGTTTTCCCCTTCTGTTCCCTTGATGTTTATTGCATTGGAAACTAAAATACCAATATGTTTCAGTCTTCATTAAAGCATATATTGATTTCCCCCTGTCTGAATCAAATCAGGTACGCCGACTTAAGTTTACACATAAACCAATTTGGGAAAATTGAAATGGCGATTTTCAAGATAATGCAACGGTCTCACCCAATTTTACTTCTAAATTCTAGGAGGAAAAATAAACGTTGAACTACAGATTTATCTCAAGAATTACCCCTAAAGCAAGTACAAAAATAAATATTATTTTTTATGTGTTCATTTCCCCCTTATCCATTTTTCTACCAAAAGAGCAGATTGTAAAACTTCAATCATATAAATATCAGGATCCTTACAAATAGATTGCTTGTTTTAGATTAAAATATTTGACAGTCCCTTTAAAGTTTTCAAACTTCCCTCCATCTTCATAAGCAGGCTTTAGAGTTCACTATTGACTATTGTCTAAAATTTTTAAAGGTTAGGATTGTATTGGAGGATAGTAATGGAGAAAATCCATTGGATTGATATTAGCACAAATTGATTTTAAACAAATTCTTAAAATCTACAAATCCTCCTAAAGAGTTGTGAAGGTATTCTCACTCTTATAAATCAGGTGCATATTTTCAAATAACATCCAGTACAGCTGAAAATGCAAATTTCATAGTATAAACTTTGTACCCTAGAAAAGTTAAGCATGCAGCTGTTTATAAAGAGTGAAAGTTCAAAAGTATGTTTTAAGGTGGTGGTGTCAAAGGTAATTTAAAAATATACGTGTACTGTCAGCTGAGAAAAAGAAAGATCATTTAAACAAATTGACTTTGAGGAACTGGGTGTTGAGCAGACCATGCTAAAGTTAACCTACTTCAAATGTCTGCAATAACAACAAAAAATTTAATTGTGGTGCATTCATCACTCTGAGAACAGCATTCATAGAATCAGAAAGATTATTTAACAAGTCTTCTGTTCTTAGAATGATTTATCCCAATACCCAAAATGATAGCAGTCTCTCTTGAATCCATCCATACAAAAAGTCAGTAAAATCTGGTCGAGCACAGGCGTTCCGCACAGTAGTTACAAGTTGTTCAAAAGAGTGGGGTTCTAAATTTATTTTGATTTTCTTAAACTCACTCACTTGTGACCAATCTCATGTGCAATGGTAAAAGCTGAACCCAGGCCAATGTCTTCATTAATGCTGCAGCTCCTTTCAGGCTCACACATTCCAGCCACAGAGGCCAAGCCTGAATAAACAGAAGGAGACACAAAGGGTCAAGCCAAGGTGTTTCAGTCTTTAAAAGCCCATACTTCTAAATGCCTGGATTCTTTTTAATAACCTCCATGCACAGAAGGAGCAGTTGGCAAAAGGTTAACTTTCTAGTCATTTGCAAAATCACTGGGGGGAGTTTCACTTTGCCGGCTAGACATTAATATTTTTTGAACTGCAGTCAGTGCTGGAAAATGTCTAGACTAGGGGTTAGATTTATAAATTTTACTTCTGGTAACTTGGGACCACCTAGTAACTTGAGCCAGAAGAGGGAATTCAAGAAAGCATTTCTATTTTAACATTCTTCAGGCTGCAGAAAGCAAAATATATCCACATTATTTTTCTAAAGAGATCTGTTTAAGTTTAGTGGGTTCATAAAAATATACAAGCAACTTTTTAGTTGCTAAAAAAAGGGAATCACAAATGGTTTTTCTAAATGACATTTTTATAAAAATAAAAATGATTAAAAAGACCTAATAAAAAAGAGAGAACCATTCAAGATGGGAGGGTTTTGCATTTTTAATCCTCTGAAATTAATCCTGATAGTGATGCAACAATGTCTTTAGAGAGTAAGCCATTCACACATTCAATGTAGTTCTCACCTTTCCAGTCTTCCTTCAATGCATTAAGGTTTTACTAATAAAGTAAAATGTATGGTGTTAATTCGCTGAGTCTAGTGAAATGTCATATTACTCAGGGTATTCTTCTCTTGGGAATTTAGTATGTAAAAGCTTTAATATTTACTTCTCAGTTAAATCATGCTCTGTGAATTGGTATATGACTTTAAATAGTGTTTATAGAAAAATAAATGCAAAAGATAAAATGTCATATATTTCAAGGAAAAAGACATCAAATCATACTGACACACAAAGAGATGGACATTAGAAGAAATTGAAGAAGGGCTGTAGAGATTGTTCAGCATGGAAAGTGTTTGCCTTGCTTGTAGCCTGCTCAGGTTTGATCCCAAGTCCCGCCAAAAGTGATCACTAAGCATAGAGACAGGAGGAAGCCCTGAGCACTGTCAGGTGATCCCTCAAAACAAAACATAAATAGTTAAAATGAGTACAGTATTTTTTTAAAAAGAAATTGAAGAAAAGGTAGGAAAAGCATTTCATATATTAGAACTCTTATCATTGTCACCCAAATCTTAATAATAACTTTGACCAGAAGTGATTTTAACCCAATTCCATGCATATTTATTAACTACCATAAAAATGTTCTTCAATAGGAACAATTTCCTAGTTGCACTAATATGGATCAGTCAAATCTATTCCATGCGTATTTTTACTAACAAGAAAGCTCTATATATTTTATCAGTCACACTGTTACAGAGCTGGGGGTTGGTATTGGGTTTGTAAATATAGTGTTGGTTTTTCCTATTTTTTTTATGTAAAAGAGGCATAAGTCAGAAAAGGTGCTGGGTTTTTCACCTCACAAAGTAATTGTAAATTCTAGCGATAGCCCAGTGCTACTTTCTTTACTTACAAACCTTGTGAACCTGAAGATGATAAAAAGACAAACTAGTTTGAGCAAGATAATTCGCCCATTTTGGATAACCTCAATATTATTTAACCAATGTTACTTCCAAACTCTACTGAGAGACGAGAGAGAATACAAAAGAATCTGCAGTACCTTCCCTGAATATAAATTATAGGGTACAATATAATCCAAGATATGGAAAAACAAAGGCACTCTAAATACTCTTTCAAGCTTTATGAAATTCAATTAAAAATAATTACTAGGAATAATAACTGGTATGTGAACATGTCTTATATTTCCCCAGACTATTTTCCCAAGGCTTAGCTTAGTTTGTTCTTGTTTAGTGTGTCGTGTGCCTATATTTTGCACTGAGAGTTCTCAATGAGTCCCCCAGGTACATTTGTGAGCACAGATTAAGCATCTGCTACAAAATTTTTAGCTCTACTAAAACAACAAATAAAGGACATATTTAGGAAAAAACTACTGCTTGTTGAAAAGATAAGGGTAAATCTTATCTAAAACGAAGAATAATTTAGATATTAATGTAATTTCATGCACACTCACCATCTTATGCATTGCTTTAAAGCTGCAATGTGTGATTGTGTTAATAGGAGTCTGATTATTATTTAGGTCATTTAGATTTCCTCAATTTGATGGCCACAGTTTACACCCTTAAGTCTAATTAACCGTATTATAATTGGTCACTAGAGGTACAAAGCAAGAAAATATGCAAGCAGCACAAAACAATATGAAAGCTATCAGGATAAGGAAGTTAAAAATAAAAAAAGACTGATCGTTTTGAAGAACTGATAGTTTTTTCTGTATATGACCAACATATATGCAATTCACTCGGTTTTTTCAGATTTTCATATATTCACTTACTTTTCACTGCAAGATGTGAGGTTAGCAATAATATATAATGACTTGTAATTTGAAAACTATTTTATATTGAGCTTTGAAATGCACTGACATGTACCCAGCTATAAGTGTATATATTCTAAAAATTGATAAGCTATAAAAATGGGAACATAGTAGTTTTGAAAAACTTTTGGAGAGGTAGAATAAGAAAACATTTATCTTCTTTGGTGAAAATGATAATAGAAGCACTAGGCAGTGTTAAAGTCCTAATAGAGAACATATATCAATTCGAAAAAAAGATATTACTAGATATATAGATAGTTCCTTAAAATATAAATGCAAGAGGGAAAGCTCCAGGTGATACTTTCCTTGAGGTTTTGCATCCTCTCTATGTAAAAGTGAGTAAATACTTAGTAAACTCTTGTAGAATATAAACAATAATGGAGATAAGTTGATAGTACACAAAATAATACCAGCTTACTTTTTATAGTATTTTTAACATCCTTATATTTTCTTCCTTAAATGTTTTTAACAGTACTGTAAAGGTAGGTAAAGTAGTATGTAAAGAATGTGAAGAACAATAAGCTAAGTGTAAAAAGTCATACACAGAACTTGCCAAAATGCTTTTTAGTTTCCGGTTTAGGTTCCCTTCCATTGATTTATGTTGGGCTTGTCAACTTAAAACACCACAAAGAAAATCTTTTTGATGTAAGCTCTTGCTCTGAGAAGCTTTCTAGCATTATTCTTTGTAACTAGCAAATTTCTCCACCAAGGTATTCATTGTTGGGTAATTAGCATTTCTTCTTGAGCAATGTATCCTGGCGAAGTGAGATAGGAGAAGCCCAGGAAGGCAAGGAAAAGCTTGAAAATGTTAATCTTTTCAGATAATTCACTGTGTTACTCAAAGCATTGGGGACCACCTTTTCTCTTGTTTCAGATATGAATGGAAAACACTTAAATACTGTACCACAGGAAAAAAGATCCTGTTTCTTAGAATAATTCCAGTTACTTAATTAGGTTAGTCTATTTGAAAGCTACTCTTTTCCCTCAATTTTATTTGCCTTTAACTTTTAATCTGTATGACTATGTTCTACAACAAATGTGATTTTTATGATTCTAGGATACAACAGAAATGCTTTTTATTTCATTTTATCTTTCCTTTTTGGATCACATTCGGTTGTGTTCAAGGCTTACTGCTTGGTCTGTGCTCAGAGATCACTCTTAGAGAGGAACAGGAGACTATTAAGCTATGCCAGATCAAAACCAGATATCATCCTTCCCATTTGTTGCAATCTCTGTGGCCCATAGAACACAATAGAAACACTTTTTTAAACACAAGTGATATTTAAAGAGCACCAGAAAGATAAATCTGTCCTTTCCATCCATGACTGCATTTTTTTACAAATTTTCTTTTCCTTTTTTTTTAACTTTAGGCAGAAAAAATTTCTAGTAGCATCCTGATTTATTGGGCTCAATATTGCCCCCAAAAGAATATGATTCTTAATGTTTCTCTTTATTGTTTTATTTTTCTTCTCTCCTAAATAGAGATTTGAAACCATTTAATCATTTTTCTTTGCTCTCAAACTTTTTTCTATTTTTGAAAAACATATTGTGGAGATGAAGATGAATGGTACTTTTTTTTTGCTTTTTTATTGGGGGGGGTCATATCCAGCCATGCCCAGGGGTTACTCCTGACTCCGCACTCAGGAATTGCTCCTGGTAATGCTCAGGGGCCCATATGAGATGCAGGGATAGAAACCAAGTCAGCCACATGCAAGGCAAACAATCCTACCACTGTACTATCACTCTAGCCCATGAATAGTACTTTTAATTAGTCATTTCTTGATGACTTTGAATCATCTCCTAAGGTGTTTTAATCATCATCTACTTGCCCAAAAGTCAACCAATAAAATTATTATCATATACACTTGTTTCCAAATAAACAATACATATGCAAAGACCAGGTATAGGAGTAATTGAAGAAGTGCCAGAAAGAAAAATGATCAACCTAATAATAATAAAAAAGTAAAATTAACAGTCTGAAAAGAAAGCTGACCTATCTTCCCTTTATAAATATTTACACAGGGCCAGGAAGATAGTATAAGCAGTAAACACATGCCCTGGGTCTGATCCCCTTCCCCCTGACCCACTGAGCACTACTGGATATAGTCTTATTCTTTTTTTTGCTTTTTAGGTCACACCCGGCGATGCACTGAGTTTACTCCTGGTTCATGTACTCAGGAACTGCTCCTGGCGGTGCTCGGGGGACCATATGTGATGCTGGGAATCAAACCCAGGGCAGCCGCATGCAAGGCAAAAGCCCTATCCACTGTGCTATTGCTCCAGCCCCTGGATATAGTCTTTATAAACAACAATAACTTACCCAGTGTTCCACAGGGCTTATTTTTATATGTGCAGATATCATATCTGAAGGGAGAGAAAGAGATAAAATGTGTAAACTGGTCAAGTTTGCAAAATATTTTCATATATTCATCACATTTTTTCTCTGGAACTCTGGTTGTCAGCCCACAATCAGGGCAATTATGAGCAGCCAGCTGGAGTGTCGGCGTTTTCAGCACTCTGGGGGACACCACAGGCTGTACTACACTTGAAATCTCTGGCTGCAAGCCAGTGGGACACCTGCCAGTGAAACAGAAAGGTTAAAGTGGATTTTTGTAATTTTGAGTTCCATAAAACCATCTACCGTATTGTTCTGAGGCCTGTCTGCAGACAGCTACTGCTTCTACAAAGAGCAAGTGAGTGGGTATTTTTAATTCCCAATCTCTTCTGAATATATCAAAATAAATATGTTTTTTAATAACCACAGACTGTATTTTATACTGGGTTATAAGCACTATTTAGGGTTCCTTGAAGTCTATTCCAAGTTCTTGTTTTAAGATATTAAAAAATAGTTCAAAACTGAACTGGGAATAAAACTGATATCTATTTTTAGACATATATTAGCTATTTAGTGTGGTTAAAATAGAAATATATTAACGTGCTTTTACTAATAACTAAAACTACACTAAACAGTTTACTGGAATGTTTTCCTCGTGCTTGTCAGATATAATTCTGCACTACACTTAATTGTAACTCAAGTCCAAAATTGGAGTTCATGAATTACTACTATGTATTTTTAAATTATTTTACATTTAGAATGCTATTGATTAATCTTTTAAATCAAATGTCAATAAAGAACTAAAGCAAACAAATCAGCAAACAACAAGGAAACTAATTCCAAATCTGGTGCAAATAATGGATGCAATTGGAGGGAAAGAGAGGGGTAGGAGGAATGTATAAAGGAGAATTTTGGTGGTAGAATGACAATGGAACTTTGGTTGTGGATGTGGTAAGCAGTATACACATACAGATGTATAATTTCTGTACACATACACAAAATAATTTCTGTACACATCCAGAAATTCTACTGTAGGGGCTGGAGAGAGATAGAACAGAAGGTAGAGTGTTTGCCTTGTATGTAGCCAATCCTGGTTCCATCCCTGACATCCCATATAGTCCCCCAAGCACTGCCAGGAATAATTCCTAAGTGCAAAGCTGGCAACAATCTCTGAGCATTGTCAGGTGTGGCCAAAAACCAAACACCAACAAAAAATTCAGTTGTACTGTTAACCACTTATAATAGATGTTCAAGTATTCAGTTTCTAAGGGGAAAAAATTATAAAACGTTTTTATTTGCCCATGCTTCATGTTAGACTTAAAAGTATTTTCATATTTAAAAATGCAATTTCATAAACTACAGAAAATCCAAATTCAAAGATTCTCTTTTGTTTTCTATATAAAATGGGTTTGCAATATTATCAGGATGAAGAGTTTAATAGTTAATCTCATTCTCATTCTTCAGAATAAAATGCACTTTCAAGAAAAATACTAAAAGTAGCCGTACCCCTGTGTTTTAGAAAATTTAAATCTCTGGAGATTCACTTTGCTTCATTTAAAATTTTCAAATTCTCCATTCTCTTCCCTGCACATCTGAGGAAAGGGATTCCTTCTCCTCTTGCATAACTTTCTCTTCTGATCATTCACATATGTATTCCCTCTCTTTTCTTGTAACTGGTAAACCACAGGATTACAGTGTCTGGTACACTCATGAATATTAGATATAGAAAGGATATTGGTGTACTCCAGTGCACCCAGAAAGTCTAATCATGGTGTAACAATTTATCTTGTGATCTGTGTTTAATGCCTATGACTTGACATAAATACAAGCCACAACAGTCTTCAAGAAAATACAAAGACTTCGTAGGTAATGCTGTTCTAAGTACTTAAAAAAAAATCTATCTTCAAATCCTCACCTTCCCCCTAAATGTGATTTACCTAAAAGTATATCTAGAATCTTCCTGGTTTTCTCTCCTCCTTTGCTTTTTACAATCACCCTATTTCTAATTCTCAAAAATAAAAATAAATAAAGTAGATAGAAAGAAAGGGAAAGAAAGCACATTTCTCATACTTCACAAACCTTGAAATGGACCATTCAAAAATGCTCTGATTGTGGAGGAAAATCTTATGGGAAAAACAAGAAAATTTATATTTAAATGCTACTTATTTCATTTTGGCTAGACTCTGTCTTTCTGTTAGTCTGCTGATAAAGCAATTTATATGTGCATCTCACAATTAGAATTCAGAATTAAGATGGCAGTTATGGAGTATACTAATGTGTTCATTTGGTCTACAAAATGAAGTCAAATTTGCTGTTGACAGACAAAAAATCTTAGCTGAATAATTTGGCAGTGAGGCCTGACTTAACCAATTAGATTACATGGCGAACATTTTTCTTGATTAAATAAGCTAAATACGCAGAAAAAATTTGACGGAATTTATTTAAAACATATATACAATATTTGTTAACTATGGTATCTGTAGTTATTTAAACATGTGATAAAAATGTTTTAGACATCAATTTTAAAATGAGTAAAATGATACATGATTTTTCAAAACGATCTTAGCAGGCAAATTAAGCAAAAATTTTGAGGATCACAAATAAACACAACTTATATTTCCACAACTTTATAATGAACTTTTCTCATCTCTCATTGCTTTTATATTTCCTCTACCTTTTATGTCAAACTAATGATAACTATTATTTTACATATTGAAAATATATACATAAATACCTTACATTTGATCAACAAAAGTTAATTTAAAAAGACTTTATATTAACCAATAATGAAAGCTAAAGCATATTAGATTTAGGTCATTTTGTTTACATTTTCTTCAGCTTAGCCAATCCCTAGCACATCTAAAAAGTTCTCAATTTGATATCCTATAAAGGCATACATTTTCTTTTTATGATTTTGTATTCCATTTACATGATATCCATCTTTATTCTAAATTCATAGACAATAATTTTGACCTATAGATTACCTTTAATATCAAAACACTGAAAAGCCTTCTTTTCAAACGTTGATTCTTTCATACATGAATTTGCTAAGCATCTAACTTATGCCCTGGCATAGTTCCATATACTAGAATATAAAGATGGATAAACAAGTTGTGGTGTACTTAGAAAAGATTGCTTATAAAGCTGCACAATAATATGGAATATGGAGAAAAAAGATAAAATTAATATGAAGAAGTTAAACTTATATACAAATTATTAGACTTGGATTCAACCCCCAGCATCCCACATGATCTTCTGAATCTACCAGAAGTTATATCTGGTGGTAGAGCAAGAAGTAAGCCCTGAGCACTGCTAGCCACAAAGAAGGTAGGAAAGGAACATGAGAGAGAGGGAGAGAAGATAGGAGAGAGGGAGGGAAGATAGGATGATGAGAAAGAGGAGGGAATGGAAGAAGGGAGTATGGGGGGGAGGGAAGAAGGGAGAAAGAAAGAGAGCGGGAGAAAGAACGAAGGAAGGGAGGGAGGAAAGTAGGTTGGAAGGAGAAAGATGGAGAAAAAAGAGAGAAAGAGAGTAAAAAGAAAGGAAGGAAGAAAGGGAAGGAGGGAAAAGGAAGGAGGGAGGGAGGGAAGGAGGGAGGGAGGGAAGGAAGGAAGGAAGGAAGGAAGGAAGGAAGGAAGGAAGGAAGGAAGGAAGGAAGGAAGGAAGGAGGGAGGGAGGGAAAGGAAGGAGAGAAGGAAGGAGGGAGGGAGGAAGGAAGGAAGGAGGGAGGGAGGGAAGGAAGGAAGGAAGGAAGGAAGGAAGGAAGGAAGGAAGGAAGGAAGGAAGGAAGGAAGGAGGGAGGGAAGGAAGGAGGGAGGGAGGGAGGGAGGGAGGGAGGGAGGGGAAGGAAGGAAGGAGAGAAGGAAGGAGGGAGGGAGGGAGGAAGGAAGGAAGGAAGGAAGGAAGGAAGGAAGGAAGGAAGGAAGAAAGGAAGGAAGGAAGGAAGGAGCTATTCCACAATTGATAAATGATAGAAAAGAAATTCATAAGACATAACATTTGAAACAAATTTTAAAGATTTTGCCGGATAAATTTGAAAAGGTATTTAAGGCACAGAATAGAATAGTCAAATGAAGAGCGTGTATATGCCAACAGAAACTAAAACGGAATATTTTTTTAGCTTCATTTTCAAAGAACAGCGCAGAGTCTCCTGCCCCCACGCCTGGCTGTCCTTGCCGAGGCCCCTTGGAGGGGAGCAGGTTGAGTTTTCCTCCCCGCCCCAACCAGGGCTCTGGCAGCCGAAGACGTCCAGAACCAGCCACCACCATGCTGAGACCACTCTCTGCACACATGAAGGGAGGGGAGAAGAACAAAGGCACGCGGGTCCCGGGCCTGAGATCTCCAAGCCTACTCAGATTGGGGCTGAGCATCCTCCACCCAGATCCTCCAAATTCCAGTAGGCGGGTGTCACACCCACCAACTGGTCCCCTGGTGCCGTATAATCCCATCAACGGCCAAGACTCAGCGACTATAAAACCCAGCTCCCGGTAGCGTGTGGCCACATTCACGGCCGCGCGACATCTTATTATAACATTTTATTATCTCATTCCTACTTTGGACAAACTGGCCGGCTACCGAATGTAACCTGCCCACACGGCAGAGTCTGGCAAACTCCCGTGGCGTACCCAATATGCCAAATACCAGTATAGCACTTTCTTAAAAATCTCAGGGCTGGAATGAAGGAGACGTTACTGGGGCCTGCTCAAGGCAATCGAATTCAAAGAAAATGAAAAAAACAATCAAATTTAGAGAGTTGAAATAGGGTGGACAGATTATTAAGAACTTGGAATGTCAAACCAGATTTGCAATTTTCTATAGACAAACAAACTTAGATGATGATACAGAAAGAAAGATTCTGTTTTAGTTTATTCTGAAGTAAGTTTATGTCAGTGTATATACAGATTGAATTTGTATCCGGGTAAATCTGGAGCATAACAATAGTTATCTAGATTTGCAGCAATAGCACAGAGGGGTAGAATGTTTGTCTTGCATGTGGCTGACCTGGTTTCAACCTCTAGCATCCCATATG